AAAATGTTTACTAATTATAATTTAATATAAAAATAATAAATCCACCAGTCCTATCAGCGTTTCTGGTCAATTTCGGTACTATGCGAACCTCGTTCACACTGCATCGTAAAAATTTTGTTGGCGTTATCTCAAAAATTATCTTGTATCTAATCACATACACTAACAGCTCGGTATAAAAAAAATTTCTTTTTATTTTACTGCTTAACTATTTGAATTTGTTGAAAACTACCCGCATAGCGATATCAAGTAATTGTAAAGGCTTAAATATTTGCCCTCATCCAAATATCAAATAGTGATGTAATTCAAGAAATTTTAAAAATTTAATTAAAAATCTATAAAAATTAAATTAATTTGTTTACTTGTTTTCACATAATTAAGGCATATCACTCCTGAATTCTTATTTGCAATTATCGTTCATCAGAAACGCTTACGATGATTTTATTCACGAGCTTTCAAGTCGCGCATCGCTATATTGAGCTAGTGCAATCGAAACGCCAAAAGAGGCTACTCCTATATTTACAAAAGTTGGAAATAACAAAATGTCCATAAATTTTCGCTATCATATTTTGAAAAGCGTCAAGCCATACACCATATACATGCCACAATTAAGTAAATCAATATTACGCGTCTTAATACAAGTTTCGGTACACTATATCGAAACAAAAAAGTCATCACCTGATGTTTTGGAACTTGCAATAAATAAACTTAAAAATGCAGGCCACGAAGTGCCTAAGAATTTTTGCGAACTGTTTACAATGGTGCTGTTACTAATGCAAATCTATTTACGCTATCCAAAGGGGGCGGTCAAGGAGCAAGAACTAAGGCAGTGTTTAATTGACGATTTGTGGTAAGCTAACCATAATAAAAACTATATATACTATAACTATAACATATGTACATAGATATCAATGTAATTCAACTTATGCGCTTTTAGCTTCACAGATGCTTGCGCTGACGATTTGGCGAAGGTGCTGATTAACCACCGTACAACGCTTAGTAGAAATTTTGCTGAAACCAAAATGGAAAGACCAAAAATGTTGGACGTGCAATGGCGGATAAATATTTCCTTGGGCTCAACGTAAGTAAAGTCGTTGCATTATTTATTCCCATGAGAACTTGTTGCCGTTATGAGAATAAACTAAGCGATCAAATATTGATTAGCAAGGAATTGCAGAGAAAGCGCACATCATTTAGAATAAAAATTCAACCCAAACAATTTGTTTTCAATAAATATATATGTATGAAAGTTAATATTTTCTTTAATTATAGAATGACCCAGCTCGATAAGCCCACAATTGTATTGCATTTTAAATTAAATAATGGCGAACATCGTACTTTAGAGCTGCCTTTGTCAATGTTTCAACGTCTTCGGTTTAATGTGGCTACGATGCTCAGCGAGCTGCAATCCTTGCAGAATCGTCCTGTTTTGAAACAGTTTTAGATAAGAGTAATTTAAGTTGTAGGCAGTATGGTTAGTTATGTATTTGATTTATATTTTACTTATGTTATAATAGCTTAGTAACTACATATATAAATGCTGTTTATTCGCTCCGTTTGCGCTTTTTAATACGTTTTTTATTTATAAGTGTGCTTTTATTACTTTTTGCAAATGTTTTCTGATACTCTTTGAATCGTTTATCCAACTCTTTAACATACTCTTGCGGCAGCGTCCATTCCGAAATGTTGTCATTCTTTGTTGGATCACAATCCTCGGAGTACTCTGGAATCTCGACGCCCAAACGTTTGCAAACTTTTTCCAATATATTGTCAATATAACATGAAATGTTTAAAAATGCTTTCTTGTCCTTTAAGAAGAAAATTCATTGGTATAATGAATTAATTATAGCTTGCATAAGTTTACGTACATGCTTTGTGGGCTGAAGGTTGCATATGACAAGCTTTCCACCATGTTTTAGATTTTTAAGAGGTAAGTTTCCACTCGGGACAATTTGCAAGGTTGTGCCAAGGGTAATGTTAACATCAGCTAGACTAATTAATGCAGATAAGGATTTTAAATGGCGTACTCTGCGATACTAATGTAAACTAAACTTACGTGGAATGCATGAATGCCATATCTAAGTCACGTTCTGGTAGATCGTGTTCCCAATCCAAGACGTTATCCTGCATAACACCTCCTCTGCATCTGCGACTCTGGCCTACTTCACTGGATCTGCAAGGACGTCCCAACAGCTTTTGCCCCACAGTTTCTACCGTCGTTTGGCTTATAAACTGTCGTCGACATTTTTGACATTGCTCGATGAAAATATTTCCATGCAGCTCCGCCAGGTACTTTCGATCTATTCCAGACTTCAAATGTAAGCCGTCGATATTTTGTGACACAATATATTGTACATATCCATGATCGATTAACGCTTTTAAGGCCATGTGAGATTTTGTTGGCTTAGCCTCGTCAAAAGATGTATTGAAAGTAGGCCTCTCTCCTTTTTCTTCCAGTGTCCAGACTCCTTTGGGTCCCCTATAATTTTTTCAGCTATCTTAGTAATTCATCAAATTACATTATTTATTACCTAAAATCGGGAATACCAGCTGAGGTGCTGATACCTGCACCTGTATGAAACACAACATGTTTCGAGTCTTTAATTAAGTTAGCCAAATGTTTGCATTTTTGGTTCACAACTTCTTCAGACTCGAAATTCTGAAAACATATAACGTCAACCATATTTCTATGTACCATATAATTTAAATATATTGCTTACTTCCGGTAAACCGAGGATTCCTTTATTTTCGTAAGCTGAAAGACCTTCAGCATAGTTACAACTCATGATCTATCAATTTATTTCTAATAGCATAAATTGACCTATTTGTTTACAAATATGTTGACCACTATCGATAAAAATACCTAATTCGATAGTATTATCGGTTAGTTTTCTGCAAATCGCCGTGCCTGCCTCCTGCCAGCTGTTCGAATTATTATTTATTTTAATTATTGTTAAATAAATAACAATAATTAATAAAATGCTGCTTCAAGTATCAAAAAGTAGCTGGCATATTTATGGTCACCATGCACGGAGAAGTTTCTTCCAGCTTAGCAAGCGGTATGATCTATTTAAGATATAATGTTTGTAATAGTATATCTTCCTCTTATGCTTACAGTAAAAAATTCGTTCATAAACGATCGACAGAATTTGAACTAATTAATGAATTGAAAATTTGAATGATTCACTTAAAAATATGTTCAACTAATTAATATTGTACTATATTCTACAAGGGACAATGTTTAAAAACGCAGATAAACAAATTTTCGATGGAATCACCGAGGATCTAGCTGCTCATCCGGCCATCCTACTATTCTTATATAATGAAATTAGTTAACTGATAAAAAATGGAAAATATGCCAATAATACAAACGCATCTCTCTGTATTACAGAGATAAGGGCAAGTGGGAAATAATAACAGCCGCTGGAAAAGTTTCCAATGAGCGCAGCGTTCCCAAACACATTCAGAAGCCACCATATTACTATACACCACAGCCGCCAGGCAACACAAATGGAAGTCCTGAAATAAAAAATGATGAGCAGGTCAATTACATGAGATCAAGTGGCAAATTGGCCGCGCAAATACTACAGGAATGTGGCAAAATGGCAAAAGTTGGCGTAACTACGGATGAGATAGATAGCTATGCGCACGAACGAATACTCTCCTTAAATGCCTACCCGTCCCCTCTGCGATACGCTGGCTTCCCAAAGTCCTTATGCACTTCCGTTAATAACGTGGCCTGTCATGGTATACCGGATGACCGACCCCTGTTTGACGGCGACATCATCAATATCGATGTCACTGTCTACCAGAATGGCTACCATGGCGATTGTTCCGAGACATTTCTCATAGGTGACGTCGATGAACGTGGGCGGTTCTTGGTAAACTGCACGCGCGAGTGCCTAAACAAGTGCATCGAACTCTGCGGTCCGGGTGTGCCCTTCAAAGAAATCGGCAAATACATACAGAGATATTGCGAGGAACATCAGCTGGAGTCGGTATCCGCATTTATTGGCCATGGCATTGGTAGTTACTTCCATGGACCACCCGAAATTTATCACTATGGTAAGAGCTTTATTTATGTCCCCATAAAAATTACAATAGTACCGTTGTAATTCGAATTGAAGGATTGCAGGATCCTTCAACTATTGTGCGATACTCCGCACTCAAAAGAGTAGAGATGTTCACACATAAAAATATATGCTCCTCATTCTTTACATACAAATAAATGTACTTTTGAGAAAGGCACAAGCAATAAAACTAAGTAACGGTGACTGACTATCTCTGTCTATCGCATTACCTTCATGACTCGTAACTTCTTTGCTCGTTGATAGGGAGAGAAGGTGCTTTATTGTACACATGCAAATATACATATAAATAAATATGTTCGAGTTTGGGAGAGCAAGTGAGAGGAACTCAAACTAAGCAAGGGCTACTATCTCTGTCTATTACAATGGCCTAATTATTCTTAGAGTACAAAGGACCCTTAAAGGGACAAGGTTGTTGAAAAATATAGATTGTTCTAGAAGGATAATTTCTACATTAATTGGTTTCATTTATGATTTAGTAATTAGTTTCTTTTTCAATTGGATTTTAGACAATGAGGTGCCGGGTAAAATGCAAGCTGGCATGACTTTTACCATTGAACCAATACTCTCTCTAGGCGGTGGCGAAATCGGAATCTTGGAGGATGGATGGACGGCAATCACCTTGGACAATTCACGGAGCGCACAGTTCGAGCATACGATTCTAATCACAGATACGGGCGCTGAGATACTAACGAAAGAGGGCTAAAATAGTGAAAATGCAAAGCGTTAACATAAATAGTGAATTTTTATTTCAAATTTTTGTAGTAAGCGCATAATTGACATAGATAAGTGTTTTAATAAACGCGTATGCCGGCTTGCAAGAAAATTTGTTGTTGCCAAGTGATTATTATAAATTTGATTTGGTTTGTCATTATAGCTGGCGACATATGTATAAATATATATATTTATATATACATATATGTGCATATATTTTGGAATTGAATCGACATCGAAGCTGGTTAACTGCATATGGCATTCGATTTTTGAACTGGTTTTTGTATGGGCAAAAACAACTTGAATTCTGGAGGGAGCTCATCTTCCGAGTAGAGCCGATCCGAAAAATATACTCGACGTATTCGACAATTTGCATGGATCTGAACCCGTAGTGTCTCCACGTAGTTGGTACCATAGGCGCGACGTGTAAAGTCGGACAAATTAAATTGTATTTGATTCCAACCCTCATCCAAACGCATTGGCATTGTACATATAAACGGCTTCACCCGTGTGGTCGATTGATAATTGCTGGCGCGAAAACGACGTCGCACATTTTTATCGTCTAGAACCTGTTCAGATATGCAATTGCAATGAGCGCTCCTTACGTATACGTATGCATACATGACTTACCTGGACTTCAAAAGTGAAGTACTTCTTCATGTTCTTGATTATCATCACCAAGAAAGGCAGCTTAATGCCCAGCGTCTTCTTTGGGTCAGCCGGGCAAGTGATAAATGTTGTGCTAACGTTAGTTCCAACTATTTCAAGAACTAGGCTCTGAATATCATTGTCAGTTATTCGTTTGATATGTCCATTTCGAACTTTCTTGTCCCATAGCTGGAGCGGCTTGGAACCAATGCTGTAAAGTATTGACAGAAATCCGGATTGAAACGTGTTTTTGAACATTTCGCGCAATTTATGGACCGTCGTGAATGGTAACTCGAGCTTTTGCAATTTTTTATGTGACCAGTGGGTGCTGGCCGATAAATTTTGCTAAGCCGGAATTTGTGAGGATTACGAACACAACTACAAAAGTATTCTAATTTTCTTATGTCAATAAATTTGTAAACAACAATGTGTTGCTATTAGTAACAGAGATGTTGAAAACCGAACTATCAGATAAAGTGTTATCGATATGCCACCACAATGTATTGACCAGCTTTTCTTCAAACTCCACTTTTTTCAACATAGCGTTAGCACAAAAAAAAAAAATAAAAACATTTTTTTAGTAGCGATAAGAATGTACCTTTTTGTGCACTTTACCATTAAAGCGAATTTTGTTATTTACTTATTATATTTACCACCATGTATCTATCAAGCCGAAATATATCGAAATTAACAATCTTTTTAATTGTTAAATATATAAATTTGGTAAAATATAATTCATATAATAACGTTTAAGTTCCAATTTCTCGAGAAACTTGAAATCTTTCTTTATTTCCAATAGTAATTAAAAACAAAGATGCTACTTAGCGTTAACCATTAACAAATGATTTTTGTTTACAAATACAAATCAAAATCTATCCTATTACTCGAGTAAAAATTTGAATTCTCCCCAACTTTGCGTACATATACTCCAGTCTTAAAATAGTCTCCTTGAGACCAATTGAACATTTTCTCTGTACTGTATGGGCCCTGAATTTCTTCATCAGTCTGCTTCCATTTAAACTCCCATTTTAATTCATTTGTACTTGGTTCCTTTGCCTCTTTTTGTAAGCCTTTTAAGAGGTTGGACTCTTTTTCTTCGAAATCATCGGCGTACATATCGAAAGAATCGTCCACAGGCTTGCTTGTACTTGGCAAATCCTCTAGTTTTTGCTTTATCTTTTCGTATGTCTCCTGATATATATCCATGTTTCCTGTATTTGACAATATTTCGTTTGCCAATTCGGTTAGCTTTGCAATTTGCTGCGTTTCAGTGTTCTCAATTCCCGCTTTTTTTTGCCGCAGCTTCTCGAGTGTGGATAATTTAGGTCGCTTACGGCCCAATCTCTGCAAAGCCATTTGCACAGTTTCCCCTGGCTTCATAAACTCAAGCATTTTGGTAAACGCCATCGATTGGTTAAATGGTTTAGGAGGTAAGCTGCCATCAGCTGAGTTTTCTTCGTTGTTTGGATCAAAGTAGTTTTTATCTTTCTCTACCTATTATATAAATTAAATGATTTATTAGCAACTGATAGTGATTTATATAGAAATCTTAACACCTTAACCCAGTCAATGTTATCCAACCAGTTATCCTTAATTTGAGCTTCTTTGTTCCAGTGATAGTGGCCTTCCTTATCAAAATGTCCCTCCTCCAGTTCCTCACGCATGTTAAATGGTGTTATTTTGACATCATCTTCTACTTTACCTACACCCTCCTCACCACCTTCTATATCACTGTCGTTGAGATTGTCTCTGAATTAAGAATAATATAATTAGCATTTCTTGTTCCTTTTGTATTTAGTAAGTCTTTGCAAACCGTTCGTAGTCGTCGGAGTCCTCTTCATCTGAGTCTAAAGTGTGTTTCTTTTTGAATACATCACTATCAGATAAATCAAAATTTTGTTTTCTTTTCGATGCCATTTTTATATATTTTTTATAGCTGATATTTTTGTATACTTGTTACATTAACAAATTTAGTTAATAAAGAAGTGTTTATGTTGCCATTTCAGAGTTGCATTGATTTGTGAACTAGTTCAAATGAAGCATACCAATATTATGATTCGCTTTATCATAAGAAAATGGAATCCGTAATCCGAAAGTCTCATCTCTAAAGTTCACATTACTATTTTTTTGTAAAAGTATAAAATAAAAATGGTAAGCAATATTATTTTTCTTCGTTGTTAATAACATATAATAACAATGACTGCTTTTACTTCAAGCTGCCGCTATCACTCCTAAAAACAGCTCAAAGTCATCCCATGGTAAGTTTTATGCCGGCATTTAGTTCGGCCTGTACGATTTGTTTATACTCGCTTAAAATTTTATATTAACAGCTGGTGGAGCTGAAAAATGGAGAAACATACAATGGACATTTAGTTAGTTGCGATTCTTGGATGAATATTAACCTGCGTGATGTAATTTGTACTTCAAAGGTAAGGAGCAAATTTATACATTGAGAAAACTTCTCATATATACAATTTTCTTTATCTAACTATGCCATGCGTATTGAATAAATTGTATTTCTTTTAAGGATGGCGACAGGTTTTGGCGCATGCCGGAATGCTACATACGTGGTAGCACAATTAAATATCTACGTATTCCAGACGAAGTGATCGACATGGTTAAGGAAGATGCACAAGCCAAATCAAGGAATCGTGCTGAAATGAACAAAAATCGTGGCGGAAACTCATCGCAGAATCAAAACCAACGTGCTCCTCGGAGTGGAAATCGAAACAACTTTGGTGTTCGCAGTGGGCCCAGTGGTGGAGGACTTGGCAATGGTGGTATGCGAGGTGGAAATGCAGGACAAGGCAATCGTCCAGCCCCCCAGGGAAATAAGCTTAGAAAATAATAAAATATAGTAATTAAACTAATTAAATGCAACTCAATTGATATTATACACAGATGTTGGGGGCATTTGCTAATATAAACTCTTTTGTAATTACAATCTCAATCCAATTCGAAACCTTCAAACTAAAACATACAGCTATCGATATAGCTTATTGCTTAAATTAATAATCGAGCACCTATCGCTTATTAGATAAACGTGCGCTATCTAGAGTAGCAACACTAGCAATTGGTTCTTAATTTCGTAAAGCATTTTTAAATAACCGTAATGGATTGTACCGATAATATGCAAGCAAGTCAACAGGATGAAGAAGTTGAGGAAAGCGGGCGTATAATCCAGCTTCAAGACTTAATTGAAAAAAATATACAGATTGGTAAGTTTTCCATCAAGTCTAACATTGCCCTAACTAATGGCGCCCTTTTTTATAGAGCAAAAAATTGAGTCCCGTTCTTTCGGAGAGTCCATGTCGGCCATTTTTGATATATTAGGTAAAGCGAACGATGTAGTGAAAGGATATGAGGAGCGTAAAACAAACTCAACAGAGATTTTGCTGGACTCTGAACTCTTAAGACGAAACCACGAAGTTGTTGGAAAGGCAATACAGTATAATACGAATATCACAGATCGAATGTATTGTACGGCCATTGTAAGTATAATTTAGAGCCCTGCAACAACACCAAATGTTGAATGCAGGGCTCCACAACATGCTTGAGATGAGAACTTCCTGAAGTGTATACCTACTTAATAAAGAACAATGTTGTTTTCAAAGAGAATGCAGAGGATTGGAATGCCCTGTGCAGCCTTGCTTGCCGGTATGGAGTGCCAAGCTTTACAAATGCCTCGATGTTGCCTTTTATTAACGTAGAGCCCAAACAGCATGTTCCCAAACAGCGCGCAGCACGTAAAATCACAATAAATGTAAATTTAGAATTCTAATACAATCTATAAATCTGTATTAATCATTCTTTATATCTTAGGCCGTAGAAAAACGTCCGAAACAAGCCGATAAGCTCGAACGCAGGGGCGAAGGCTCGGCGGCTGTGAATCATGTGATGAAACAGATTAAAAATATTTACCGAGCAGGCAATAACCAACCAATACCATATTTTAAACTGATCTGTAATCCACAAAACTTTATGGACACCGTTCAAAATTCATTGATTATATCGTTTTTGATCAAAGAAAATCTGCTATCGATGGAGAACGGAGCAGATGGATTGCCCCAAATCAAATTGAATAGTTCAAAAGAATACGTTGCAAATGAACCTTTTCAGGCCATTTGTCGCTTAGATCTTGAACTCTGCGAGGTACAAAAACACTGTTTAATATGTGAAAGCAACCTTTAAATACATAATTATGTTAAATTAATTAATTTACAGAAATATGCCAAGTATTACAATATCAAGGAACCTATGTTGAAGCGTGCAGAAGTCGACGAAAGCTGATCGTATTTTTATTTCGTTGAGCCATTCAAGTCATTAGAATTAAATACTTATATATATGTATATAGATAAGAGCACGCACTAAATAGTTGAGTTTGTATTTTATATAATCTTTGTAATAGAGAACGAGTGGTGTCGAGAGATATAAAGCGTAGTTCAGTACGTTAGCTGATATGACCTGAAAAATTAAAATTAATGCTAGATAAAGAGAAAGAGATGAAAAAAGAAACATTATTTTTGCGTTGTTTATTTTTTAAATCAATCAGTGCAAAAATAAATTAACTTTACATATTCTGCTATGTTATAAATTTTGTATACCACCCTCGTATATGCTTTGGTTTTTTAACGTTAAATTAAAATTTTTTTTTTGAAATGTTCTTAGTTGTGCCTTAAGCTTTTGTAATGGCACACGCGTTCGATGCGCTTCATCAGACTTGAACTTTTTATAGTATATACAATTGAGTCAAATATAAGAGAATGCAGTTCATAAGGTCAGTGGACTTATTTATGAATTATATTGAACAGATAAGCAGAGCTCAATTAATATTGCATGTGAAGTAGCTCATTCATAAAATTTATATGTGTGTTGCACATGCGTGCAAGATTTATAATAATTGTATTACTGATACAATTCCTATAAAGATCATTCATTAAATTTATAGTCATACAGTATTTGTCTTTCCAATAAAATCTGTTGAAAACTTCAAGTTACATTTCGTATTTTAATCGCTGCCAGCAATTAACCTTGCCACAAACAAATTTCGTGATTAAAAAGTCATTCTGTCAGATAATAAAGTCAAAGTGAATATATTCGAAATAAATTTGTAATTCTTTAGAGTCTTAAGTATTTTATTGCTATCATGCTTGGAGATTCGTCTGAATAATGCCACCCAAGTGCACAATGAGAACACGAATATGTATATGATAAAATCTGAGCTCAGTGACGATATTGATGATGATTATACGGATTATGTGGATGAGAATGAAGTCAGCAAGCAGACGCGACAACGCAACCAGAGCTCATTCGACAGAATGGGCACGTTTTATTCCTGGGATCGTTGGGAGAAGTGGAGTAAATGCTCCACCACTTGTGTGCAAATCAAGCAGCGGAAATGCTTAGAGCGGTAAGTGATTCAAAGATTATGATTGTCATGCTCATAGCTAATATATCTAATGAATTCGCAGCTTTAAAAACTCAACCATGGAGAGCGCAGTGGAGAGGCGTTTCTACCCCGGTAATGGCCAAATGGGCTGCTCGGGAGTGCTGAAGCGATATCGTCAGTGCAAGGAGGAGCGATGCAAGCCAGGGAAGCAGAGATTGCGCGATGAACAATGCGAAAAATTCAATAACATGCCCTACCGTGAGACTTTCTATAATTGGGTCGGATATGAGAAAGAGCATGACGAGTGCATGCTGTTCTGCCGCGCGACAAACTCTGATTTGTTCATTAGTATGAATCAATCGGTCACCGATGGTACGCCGTGCAATCGTCCGGCCGTATATTATACGCACTTTTACAGACGACAAGCTGTCTGTGTAGAGGGAGTTTGTCGGGTGAGTGAGCTACTTTTACCAATTGATGTATATATAATCAGTTATGATATGTAATCTATGATAAAATAATTGTTCATAGGGTGTTTAATATTCTGTAAGCTGATTTTTCATTGATTTCTCTCTCATTTTCTATAACATCTGCAAATAATAACTTTGCCTCTTTCGGTCTGAGGCTGGATTTTTATTGCGTACATTTATACCAATTGCAAATTGAGTTCTATCTGCTGTTGAATTGGCAACTCGATAAAATTTCATTTCTACTCGTTATTCCACAAAGTTTATGGGCCGCTGAGTGATGTCATCTGTAAAAGCGAAACTTAAAAAAATATACATTAGATGGCTTTGTGTATAAGGCAAGCTTTCATGGCACTTCGGCTCACTGAAGTAAAACTTCAATGCTAGTAATAGCAATACTCTAGGCCTTTGCCAATGTTTTGTAAATAATTGAAATATTTCTGTAGTCATTCATTTTGGCTTTTTAAAGATGGGCATGCGGCAAGGGCAGCCACAATTCAATGTTGAATTTCTCTTTATGGCCATGTTAAATTGTCTAAAGCCAATTTTCTCCAAAAGCATGCAAATTGCTCAAGTGCTTAGCACATACGATTGCACATGAATATGTAAGGTAGATATAGGCAGGTATGTAGGCTTAGGTACTCTTGCATTGTAATACAGTCCGTTAAACTGCTTTATGGGTGGCCACGCACATACACACACACAGACACACATACTGCGAGTGCAGCTGTGAGGTTCTTGAATAGCTGCCAAATGTAATAAATCTTAATTAATATCGTTTGCCAATGATTTCCATATTCATATGGCTTTCGGGTCTTTCCAATTTATAATTTAATTAGTTTTTTTCTATACGCATCACAGCAGCAGCAGCAGCAGCAGCGTGGCTTGGTAAAAGAAACAAAAATGTATAGATAATGTTGCGATGGGCCTTCTGTTGACATGACCCCATTATCGCCTGATAATTTCAAATACTTACATACACATGTAATTAGCCCAGATACAAAGCCTTTTCATTGTTTTAATGGCTCTCTGCCCACTCTCTCGAAATATAACTAAAACAAAATGAGCAAGAAGAAGAGAAACTGTGTCAAAACATTCAAGTGGCTCTTAGGAGGTGCACTAGATTAGAGCGATGCCAGCGATGGATGTGCAATCTGGCTCCAGTCACTGCTTGCCGGCAGAGATATGCTACTCGACTTTATCTAAAAGAAGATCAAACACATCCACCGATATTTGCCGCCGCGTTAAACCAACACTTTCTCACATTCGTAGAGATGATAAAAAATATCTCGATGGATCTTATTAAAGTACTTACGAAATTTGATGATATCAATCTGATCAGATCTCTTGAACTATTAGAAAATCTAAGGATTTCCCATTCGACAAACTTCAATTTATATGAGCGTAAGGGACTGTGCAATACCCTATATTCTCTGTATATGAAACAACCTTTCACTTTTGTGTTATAGATTTTATCTTGAGTATACGAAGACTTATATAGTATTTCGTTCTTCCTTTCAGGCAGTGCATAGCAGCGGCCTAATTCGTCCCGTTACAACGCGGGATAGCCAGGTGAAGTGCGGTTCGGTGATGTGCAAACATGTCTCTGTCCTATTCAACAAAACCAATCCAACGAAGGGCTACAATCTCATTACCAAACTGCCAGTTGGAGCAATGAATCTTGCGATTAAGCAAAATATTCGAAGCAATAATTCATTAGGCAAGGCGAGATATAAGAAATATAAACGAGCTACAATTTTGATAAAATTTCAATTTTGCAGCTTTGAAAAGTGCCGAGGAGGTCTTTCTCATACCGAGAGATCGCTTAAAGATATTCAACTTTAATGATAACGCCTACGAATACAATCAGCTAAACGCTTTGCTTACATCAAGGGGTCCGCTCGTAAAGGCTGTGATGCTGATGGTAAATCTTAATTGAAAACTTGTATTGAATCTTGAACTAAATGTGCGATCATCACTGACAGCATTTCGTGCTCGATACGCAGAGTGGAGTGAACGATGTTCAATACAATTATACCATACCCATAGCCTCCTCCACTGTCAACGAGGAGGAGGAGCTGCAGGCTATCTGGGATGAGTCGGGTAAGCTCATTAAGGACAGCGATGGCAGCTATGCGCAGCGCATGAAAGAGCGAAAGCGTCGGCGATTTAGTTGGAAGTTGTTGGGTTTCGGCGAATGTAATCGCAGCTGTGGCCCGGGCACCCAAACGCCCATATTCCGCTGTGTGCTCATGAGGGAGTCCTTAATCCGATATTACTCGCCACGTCGCTGCGCCGACATTGAGAAGCCTACCTTCAATGACGACATCTACAACTGCAATCGTGGTCTTTGTCCGGCGTTTTGGCGTCCGAGCAACTTCAGCAACTGTGAGTGTCCGGCCGGGAGCTACATTGGTCTGCGCAGGCGAAACTTCGAGTGCATGCAGGAGCAGCTCAAGGGGAATGTTGAGCTAGTTCCCGATATACTGTGTCCTGCCCGACACACTCAGGCTGAACCGTGTCGTTGCCATAGTAAAAACTAAACCGAATACCGATCGCAATCTCTGTGCATCTGTCATCGGGCATAGGCATAGGCAATAGTTTGTGCGCCAACTATCCCCAGCGTGAAATTGTCTCTAATGTAATACGCAGAAGTCAAAGAAGCGGGTCAATAAAGACGATTATCCATTTAAAATCTATGACTTCGCAGCCCAATTAATGACCCACAATACAACGCGTTAGCGTTTCAGTGGCTCAGCAGCACACTTCATTTCATTTCAGTTCTTTTTTCAGTTCATTTTCAATTGCTCGCAATAAAGAATATATCAAATCAATTAAACAAAAAAAAAACTTTAAATTAATGCTGAAATCTAATGAAAATATTCAATTTGCGTTACGCGCTTAGGCGAATTTCTGTTAAAATATCGAGTTACGTTCCCCAAGATTTCTCTCAATTCTTTTTTAATTTTTTGGCTGCGCTCGAACCACAAAAATAAGCCGTTAAGAAAAATTTATGAACTCGCCCGGAATTTAACGATTTTATAAATAATGGAATGCAGCTCGCAATTCAATTGCTCCAAAAACAACAAATTTTAATTGATCTTAATGGTAACTTTTGGTGGCAACTTTTAATTTCATTTCCCATAATGAGAAAATATATATTATATTAATTTTTAATGACTTGCTTGTTTATCATATCAAATTTATGTTTGCTCCTAATTACAAATTTTTGTCGACAAAACAACTTTAATTTTATGTATATCATATTATTCAAAATAATATAATTTAATGGCTTTATTTTTTGTAGATTAGAAATCCGCAAATTTTCTGATAAAAATTAAATATATATATTGTTTTCCATTATCAAATTGGTGAATGGGTTGTTATATATATTAATTATACTAATATTGCTTATGATTTCTCTTAGCTGGTATTTCAAGTTCTTCTATACAAGCTTTTATAACCATTTTGGATTTCCTTTGGGTTTCTTGTTTTTAATTTTCATCAATTTATAAGTGAATCATAAAATATGGTATTTTGAACTATAACCCCCGACACATTCTTGCGAAATATATGTATATGCGTTAAAATTTTGCTCAATTAATATTTATGACATAACTTGAAGCTATAAATAATTCTGTGTAGAGGTTTACGATTTGTTTTCTGGTATTGTTTAGTCTAGTATTTGAGGCAAGGTCTCTGGGGCTTACATATGTGGAGACCCTTAACTATTGTGACAGACCCAACAAGAGCGATTAGCATAACAAATATTTGATCTTGACTACTTACATATATAACTGTATATATGTATGCTTGTTTGTATATGCAAGTAATGCCAGTGTGAACTGTATGGAATCTGAATGTGAGTGTATGATTCTGTGTGCGTGCGTGTGTGTGTGTGCGTGTGTGTGAATGCACCTGTTTTGTGGACGAGCTGCGAGCAATTATGCTGAGCCAACGTTTCCGCTTGTGATAAAAACAATGTGTATTTGATTACCATATGTATGTATGTAACTGTGTGTATGTATGTGATGGTATATTTTGAGTATTTTTTAGTTGTAACTACCAGCGAGTTGTGCTCTGATTTAAAGTGCGTAAAAGAGCCTCTAGATTCCTTATATTCCAACACGCACTAACACACTCTCACTCACTAACTCACTCACACACTCAGTATCGCTATTCCCTCGCTTCTCTCCGCCCACTCTGTCTCACTCTTCCTCTCCTGCTCTCACTCTCGTTGAGTGTGTCGCGTACGAAGTGTTGTAAGGCACGCATCATCCAGACTTTTTGGGCGCGCGCGCCTCCGCCAGCAATTCAACTCGTTCACCCCACCCACCCCCACACGACGCCCTCGCTTTTACAGTTCTGTGTCGCAGCCACAGGCCGGCAGTAGCTGGCGTCGCCTGCGCCGGCCGCGACTGCGGCTGCGACTGAGGCCACGCTGAGGCTGTCTTCATCGCGCTTCAATTCCCAAAACGATTTCCCAGCGATTTTAGTTTGGATTTGCGTACCACGCGATGTTGACGGTGGCTTTAATTGAAACGAAAATCAATCGGGAAACTGTTCGAACTTGTTAGTTATAGTCAGTACATGTATGCGCAAATACTTTTGGGAGGCGGTTTTTTGACTCAATCGTTATCGCACCCGAAATTCCCCGTTGGTGAAAACACTGCATAATTATATATTATGATTTATACATGTGCGTGCCATACAAATGATCAGTGGCAAATGCAGAAACATTTGTGAGTTATGAAATTTTCACAAAGTGACTTGTTACACTCCTTATCATAGGCTTTCTTAAGCACCTAAATAATTTGTGGGTAATAATTATCTATCGAAATCTTTAAGCTCTGGTAAGCAAGATTGGACAGAAACTAGGAGAGAATCTTGGCAAATCTTTTCTTTTTTTTTTAACACTATAAAGCCAAGCTATATTTAAGTAAACAAAAGTATAATTAAAATATATATCAATATAAAAATCAAACTAATTTTTGAGAAAATTCGGAAGATCTTTTTGTATATTTTATGTAAGTAATAACAAATGGATATAAATGGATATTTATATAAATATTTATGAGTATTACATACGCATGTTTAATATAGAACGCCAAATATTTGTATAAAGGATGACAATCTGAAGCTAATATAGCTATATTTACCTCTGTTTATTTTCGTCTATATCATATAACTAATGTCGAAGTAATTAATGCAAATAATATGGGATCCTTTTTTTGTACTAGATTTTAACTGCACATCATTCGAGTATAACTTATGTTTATATCTTATCTTTATATCATATCGAAACTATATTGCTGTATATATCTCTATGTAGTTACGTATAGATCTTTTTATACAGCTTCAAAAGTGACTAAGTGACTGATGTTATATATATGATTGTCATACAATTATATCTGCATCTACATGATATAACTTGTCTGGCTCCTCTTACGTTGATGTCATATCAGTTTAATCAGCCTATGTAAAGGAAACTTTTAATCGGCTAGGGTATTTGGCTTTCAACATTCCTGGCTCCAATTACAGTTTCTCTAATACAGCCATCATAAAGCCGAGCTGATAGCGTGTGACCAACATCTTAAACAATGCCACGCGTCGTGCCCCTGCTTTTTAAGGTATCAAAGCTGGATGAGGGAGGGGCCCAACTCGCATTCAAAAGCAACCGAGAAAAAAATGGAAAATAAAGAGAAAAAACCAAATAAATTGAAATATATTTGATGGCTATAACCATTTCATCGCAACGTCACAATTACAAAATGCACTTATGGCCCAATGACATATCAACCTCCTTCGTCTCCTCCTCCTCCTTGTCCTTCTCTTTTAGGTTTCATTCTCAAGTGCATCAATCAATCTTACAAGACAATAGTCCACATAGACGTAAATGTAAAATAATAAAAATTGAAAATTATGCCATTAGGTATTGTCGATAGGTAGCCGAAATGTTGACTGAGAGTCTTTTGTATCTGGGAAACAACTCTTAAAGAGATTTGAACAACAATTTTAGAAGTGTTAAAAATGTGAAACGACGGCTCTACTGAACATATACGATTAGAGCTGTTCTTTAACTTTGTTTAAAGTAAATTGCTTGGAGCAATAGGAAAAGAAGTAAATGTGAGTAGGAGTAAGTTTATAAGGAAATCATTCAATTATTTTATAATTTTTTAATTCTCATACTTTGTACCTAAAGGTAAAAGGCATATTGGTTTCTTATTATCCGATGCTAACTAGAGACTTGAAATCTTACTCACTGTATCGGTAACTTAAATATAATTTGTGCGCCTCTGTGAACATTTTAAAGGTATTTCACGCTCCAAGCGTGCAAAATAAAAATATAATTACACTAAAAGATAAAAGAAAAATAGATGCACGAAAAATATTCAAAGAGAGCTGTGAACATTTTTAAGGTATTTCATTTATATACAAGGTATTTCATTTATGAACATTTTTAAGGTATTTCATTTATATACCTTAAAAATGTTCACAGCTCTCTTTGAATATTTTTCGTGCACCTATTTTTCTTTTATCTTTTAGTGTAATTATAGTAAATAGAAGCTATTTTGTTGTTGTTAAAAAACTTTTATTTCTTTTATTTTCATTTCAAATAAGTAATTTTGAAGCCTCCAAATATTTGATAAATTACTTTTTACATTCAATAAATTTCATAATAACCATAATATTTACATTAAAATATTTTCAAAATATTAGAAATATTTTCGTCATTGCTATTTACAGCAATAAATTATATTGTTTCAAAATAACATAAAATTTCATTCATTCATATTCATTCCGTTTTGAGAAACGCACTTGTTGACGTACACTCAGCAACTGTATTTGTTTCGTTTGGATCGGATTCTATCCATAGACACATGATAAAATGAAATGTGGAAGAGCCTAACAAACATATCCATAAATAAACATAAACACTTCTTGAATGACCGAAAACTTCAAATGCAAACGCATTTGTTGTTCAGCTCGAATGCAAATATTGCAGACACTTGACTCGATTTCCGTTTGAATACACTTCATATCCGATATAGACGGTTATACATTCATATAGCTGTCGCTTTTTTTAAGTATGTAGAAATGTTAGCTGTGTGGGGCATAAATATGCAATTAGTTTGGCACTTTTCACAGTCTTTCATTTCGTAAAGGGCTTGTTCACAGCTTCTTCAAGTACAGTTTGTAAATACAAATTGCATCTATATCTTTATTTATATGTATATTCAAACAAATATCCGTCTATATGCATATGGAAATATGCTTGGCCTGGGAATAGCTCGATTGACACATATTCGAGAAGTGCACGAGCTCATTAAAGTTACTTAATGCTGAAGCTGATGCACTCTCCGCATATAGCTTAGCAACCAATTGGCTTCAATATATAGCCTTGACTACATTCCTCAGCTATCAGTTTATTAGGCATTAATTGCATTGACTGATTCAAATTTTCGAAATTAATAATATTTAGTTTTAACAAATTTTTAAACGAGAAACATTTACGTGTTTCTTATAAATAAAATGATAGAAACGAGCTCTTTAGATTATTTATATGTTTATTTTATAAAATATAATTTAAGTCAAGTAGTAGTGTTAGTCTTGATCAAATACATTTTAAAAATTAGAAAAAAAAAACAGAACCTAAAAAAAATTATATTACTTTTGTTAAAGTCGTTAGAGCATATATTACTTAATTTGAGTTTAAATGAATTCAGAATATTAAAATATCTAAATTATATAATTTGAGTAATGTGTAAAATATATGATTTAAAATCATCTCCAGTATTTTCGATTCACAGTTAGGTTAGTATATTTGTATAACACATATTTTGTATTGTTTTTACATTTAGATATTTGTTTTAATTGAATATTTTCAATTTTAGGTAGCCTTTTTAATATATTTAAAAGATTTATCAACTGTGTTTAAACTACTTTCTTAGCAAACATTATTTGCGTGTCAAATTAAAGCTAATTTTATTTAATTAAAGTAATTTATAAAACATGTTATTTTTACCAATTTCAAAATATATTTTAAACTTCGAAGCCTAAAAGAAATGAGTTATTTTCATTATGAATTCTAAATTATTTTAAATATTTGTTATATTTTTAGACTTTAAATTTTTTTTCTATTGATAAGTCATTATTATTATATGTATACGTTACATACAAATGTATATATTCATATCACCATAATATTTAATGCTTTGATCCAAAATAATTCAATAAATTTTTCAACTGAAAATGTTTAAGTTAAAAAAAATTTGAAACCAAGTAAATAAGTATTATTAATAAAAATAATTAAATAAATAATAAAAATTAAAATTAAATTATTGTCAATATACAGTGTACAATGTACATAATTAATATTTAAAACTTTAATTGAAAATGTTGAATATTATAAATATAAAGTATTCAATTCATAATCATCGTGTATATTTGAGTACATAATTAACACAATTAACGTAGAGATTTTTGACCTAGTTTCAAAATTATCACATATTAAACATTTGGCTTAGTACCTTCTAGGTATAGCATTGAAACGTATATGGGGTTATTGGCATTTAGTTAAGACCATATGAGGAATATTTTTGTTCCTATTTTGCGCTTCTGAATATTCTATAGACCGCAAAGGTTATTGGTTATGCTCTACATATCAATCAAGCAATGCAATAAAGGTGATCTTAGCTACCAGCGACCCAAACAAAATGATGTATGCAAAAAAATTGGGCAATATCCATTATGGATAATGTGGGTTAGTGTTGGGCAGTGCCCAACTATTCGAAACATTCACTTTGAAAACCATTTACCATGAAGGTCAATAGTATATGACAATTTCAATCGTAGCCATTCGTCTAGCATTGTCTGTCAAGCAGCTGGGAATGAAGTTCTATGGGAGCAAACTCGGTGAACACACCCGTATGGATATCCGTATATACATATGTACATACATATATATATGCATATATGTCTTCATTGTGTTGCTCAAAAATGTCCAAATTATTTAAACGATGCCAGAAACTGCTTCAGTTCGCATTTGTTTCACTCTTTTTGTTGCATGGTCACGGGCGATTTGCTGAATTTGCACAATGTGTATTATACAACACACGAGCATCAGATATAGTATATATGGACATATATATATAGTATATGTTATGTATAATAAGTGTGTGCAGCTAGTATAAAATACACAGTTTAAATATAAGCACTAATCTAAAGGCAAAATGTTTTATTATTTAATTAACAGCTTTAAAAACATCTTTATTCCAAGTGCTTAATAAAATTAAATGTTTTTATTAAGATTTAATCAGCTCTCAAGTGGGCTCTAAATAATATACGTATGTATATATTTATAATTGAGCGATACTTGTTTATGAATATTTTAAACAGTTTGCATTCACGATTAAAGAAGCTCAGATACTCTGCTATGTCACCCTGACTATATATATATATGTGTATATATATATATATATACATATATAAAGTATAGTTATAATTACATAATATATAATAGCAGTGTAGTAATAATATACATATAAAATATATAACAAACGCATATTCTCATATAATATTCTCTTTGCTAGGGTATACAGCAATTTGTTTAAATATGTATTCAATTTCCTATATGCCCCATCAATACATGTGCATACATACATATGTACGTCCAAACGTACATGATCATGTAGGTACATACATACGCATATGCTAGTCTATTCGATCTAACGACTTCCGATGAGCTGGCTGATAATATTCTCTTTTCATCCCGAAAATTTTTGACGCTATCGCTAAAAGCGAATCTACGCAGTTAATTTGGTCGCACCCGCCCATGGGTAGCAGTCCATACACACATATTTATATATGTACATATGCATGTATATGTGTACATAGACACACACATGCACACTGGGACAATTTGCCATTCGCCGATGTAACGTTTCATTTTTGAGCCGATCTGAGCTAAGTTGAGCCGATCTGAACAGCGGCTCATTATAAATGAGGGATGGGCGTGTCGAACTCTGTCGCAGCGAGCGCAAATTACGACCAGATTAATGATCACATGTTTCAATGCGTTCTTTCTTCGTATATTTTGTTTTTGTTTTTGTTTTCGTTTTTTAAGCTCAGCTATGCGTAAAAGCATCCGCAAGAGAAATAAGCTTTTGATGATGATGTGTACATAGAAATGTGTTGAAACCCATTCAAACATTCGCAACAAATCTATGTACGCATGGCTAGCAGCACACATACGCTGAGAGAAATGTATCATGGATTAGGTATTGAAAAAAAAAAGAAATTTTCACTGCGAATCCGGAATTAAAAGTGATTTTTAAAATCTTTTGATTCATTTAATGTGCTCAAATTTATATTGTTTTTATTTTCTTATAAATTCAAGAGTATTTAC